GGATCGGAAGCTGCTGTAGCTCTTGTACCATGCGATCTGGCAGACAGCAGAAGACGTATTTTCATTTATCCATGTCCCAGTGACCAAGATAATGTGCGAGGGGAAAAGTGAGCTAGTCGATCGAAGGGTTTGAATGTTATTCAGGAGTGAGCGGGCATTTATGACACACAGACTCCTAGGTGACCAATAAAAATGCATTCATGCGTAAAAGTTCATGCAACATCTGCCAGTTGGACTTTCTAGATTGCATTACGTCAGCTGTAAATGCCTAAATGTCGGTACTGAGCATCTTCCTTGATATGCACCAAGCCTTCGATAATATTCCGCATAAGCGACTTTTGTTGAAGCTTAGGCCATTCGCAGTCCGTGACTCACTCCTAGCTTGATTTACCTCCCTCAGCGGGTCGCACTCAGACTGTGTTACTAAATAACCTGGAATCAGAACCACGTACAATAACGGGTGGAGTACTGCAAGGTAGCATACTTGATCCCACTCTGTTCCTCATCTATATCAATGATGTTTTCGATAAAATCAAATCTGATAAACCGTTTCTATTTGCGGATGACATGAAAATCGTCTACACATTTCCTCCAGAACATCTGCAGATAATCATCAAACGGATCTGAATTCCCTTGAACTCTGGTCAAATGAATGGTTAATTAAATTCTCCGGGCACAAGTCCCGCGTACTCTGTCATAGATGTAGCATCCCACCAGGAACTTTAACTTTAAATGAGGAACCAATCTCTATCACTCAGCCCGTTCGTGTCCTAGACTTAAGCTACAATGAACTACTAGACATCTCAACTCCCGCTCAACAATAGTTATTAAAGGCTAGATGTGCTGTAATCCTAATCAACAACTCAATAGTCTTACCCGAAGCCAAGCTAGCTCTATATTTGATTTGTGTACGCCCACTTTTGCAGTACTGCCCGATCATATACAGTCACATGTGCAAGAGTGATCTCTTAACACTGGAACGTCTGCAGCGGTCATTCACAAAAGCCTTATGAGTAAATCGTCGCTAGCAATATATCATGATAGATGTAAATTACTGAGCATCGATCCTCTATGGTTACGAAGACGAAAGCTGAACTTAGTATTCTTTAACAAACTGATACCCAATCTCAGCTTCAGCTCAAGCAAACAGTTGAAGTTTAGGGAGGTTAATGAATACAACTTAAGGAATCGGGAATGTATTCTCCCCCAACAAAAGTTCACGTTGCAACTTCGCGCAAACTTGTTCGTAGCTCGACACTCAGCTATCTGGAACCGACTGCTGCACTCGGTAAGAGCCAGTCCGACTATCGGTCAATTCAAAACCGAATTTAGTCAATTCCTGCTATTAACGAGCATGGCTAAACTGTTTGATTGACAGATAGCAGCGACCGAGGAGCTATGTTTTCAAGGATTAGGGAATATTTAAAAGAAGACCACACAGTGTGTTAGTCCCTGCGTTAGACCCAATCTTGCAGCTTGGAGTTTATGCTATCCTGTTCGCTACCTCAGCACTCCTATGAAAATAGCCTAGATGGAAATTAGTCTTGAAGTTTTGTTAGCCCAAATGTTCTCGCGTATCTTACCCACCTAACTGTCCTCTATTCTTCTTTAGATAAAAGAAACTGAGTATTCGCAGCACCTGTCACAGCAATGTAAAATGAACTTGCGCAGCCAATCTCTCCTTTTCGATCATCTACACCTGTCGAACCCATCACACTATTCCTCTGAGAACTCTCCTTTAAATGAATATTTCGGATGTTTATTTGTTTTCTATGATCGTTATGTACATCTTAAATTGCACCACCATCTGTCCCTCTTTTCTTCTTTATCATTGTTGTCCATTTCTGGGCTGACCTCCTGAGGTGACAGACTAAAGCTTCTTACCTAGTACACCCACACAAGGCGAACCGCCACATAATCACTGGCGCATTTTAAAAATGCCGAACTCGAAATAACTGCATGAGAGAATGGGCTGTGTCGTGATTGCCACGAAATAGCCGGTTATCAAAATATATTGAGCACACGTGATGAGAGCAAAATTGTGCACGACAAAGATAAAAAGTCAACTTATTGATGATCTATTTACTTGTACTAGCGGCAAAAAATAAGTGCCAATGTGATGAAACCCTTTTGCGTATATCTGCAGCCAACAAACGAGTCAAAATAATGAGGCTTATCTGCTTTAAAGCCCAACAGCACATGACCAGATGAGACGTGGAACTGCGGATGAAACCGCTCGAGGGATTACCCCGTATGAAAGCAGGTCCCCAGGGGACGGTTCCTTGGATGGCCGTATTACTTTACTTGAACTGACGAAGATTATTACAATTATTCTTACTATCAGCTCTTTCTTGCACTACTTTTAATTGATAGCAAACTCCCAACAATTCAGAGGAGACATTGTTATACAATTTGTTTCACTATGTGATTATGTGGCACATTATGATCAGACCACGTAATCGGTGTGTGTCTCGCAATGTTGAGGAAGACACCATTAATTTATTTGTAAGAACACACTTCTTTTATGCACGCAAAACAGCAAGTTTTACTTTCAAGGGAAAGCGTATCGGCAGATAGATGGTGTGGCCATGGGTAGCCCATTAGGCCTGTGGTTGACAGACTATTCATGGGTATGATTGAAGATAAAGCTGATAACGAAATAAGTTCGGAGACTCTGTATAAGCGTTATACTGATGATATAGTGCTAATTATGGATTCGGATGTGGACATTGAGCATGCGACCAAGACACTCAACAAATTGCATCCGAACCTTGCAGTGACACGTGATAATGAACAAGATAACTATCTTCCGTACTTAGATATACTGATTACACGGCGACCAGACGGTTTCATCAGGTCTGTGTACAGGAAGCCAACCTGGACTGGTCAGTATTTGCATATTACAAGTTTCTCCCCTATTCAACACAAACACTCGTCCGGACAACCTTCTATCGGGCGCAAATGATCTGCACACCTGACACCATAGAAGCAGCAAAGGATTTACTTTTCAATACGCTACAATCCAACGGTTATCCGTCGCAGGTTATTAAGCGTGTCAGTGAGGCAACCAAGCGAGATCGTGTGCCAACAGTTCCGAAGAAGTCGACCTTAATCGAGTTACCTTTCAAAGGTGACCACATTATGAAGGTGGCCGAGAAACGGATCAGAGTGTACAATGCGGCGGAACTGCGGCTACTCACATCGAGAAGACCTATGCTTATGTGTGGGATAAAGACACCGGCGACGAGGCAATGCACGTCCCACTGTCTATATACATTCATCTGTAGCTGCGGAGCTAGCTAAGTTGAACGTACTACCCGAAGTTTAGGTGTCAGAGTCAATGAACACATCCCCATGTGGTTACACAGCCGAATGGTGTCTGTAACGACGGAGTCGGTTGAATCGGGAAAACGAGCTGCTTTGGCAGTCACAAAGCACTTGCTTACAACCGGGCACAGAGTCAATCCTGATGAGTCATTCACTGGCCTACTGCGCGATCGGCGGCCTCACATGCTTAGGCTATTGGAAGCCATTGTTATCGATCGCGAGTGACCATCACTGTGCATTCAAATACAGCTGACTGGGACTTTAAGCCTACCCTGTTAGCACAAATGCGGAGCTTTTTGGTTACTCATTTCCCAAGCATTGTTGTATGTTTTTGTGATTGATAAGAATGCACAAAATGGTGACGTCATCTCACAAGCTACATCTTATGATTTTCCTGTTTGCCATCAATACATATTTTAGTGAGGACAAGGAGTAGTTCCGTAATCCTACGTTCAAGTCAATGCGCAAATTTATCTACACAATTTATTTCCAGTTGATCTGCATGGCTAACTCATTCTGCTCCTCCTTCCGATGCAACAATTCAGTGCTACATGAGATCAGTTTCGATATCAACACTTGTGCTTCTCGAATGCATGCTGCTGATGGAGTTACCAGAAAATTCTTCTGACTACTGCATTGATCGTAAGCACTTCTAAGGGTTAGTTGATTTCTTCGGACGATCCATTGAACTGTCTCATGTTGTTATTTCGGTCTATTTTCATATTTTCTGGAGGTTATTTTTTTATAGAAACGACTAGACCGATCCCCTGGCGTGATGGATTAAAGCTTGCAAGTGAATCAATACATCTAAGCACAGGGTCACTGGCGGGTAATAAAATGTCTGATTGGAAAGTTGAATTGTGAAACGAGTTGGATGACCTGGATGTATAAGACAACGGCTCTAAAGATGTGTGAAAGTGGTGTTGGCTTAATTGTTGTTTTAAACTCACACAAGCACACGGCTAACTAAGGTATGTAAGCGCGGATGAAGCCTTTCGAGGGACTATTCCGATTAGAAGTAGGTCTCCATGTGATAGTTTGACGGTTGGCTGTATTACTTAAATTGAACATTTGATTATATGTATACCCATTCCTACTGCCAATTTTCCGTCTTTCTAATATATTTTACCGGTCAATCACATTGAAAACGCGTTTGAACACTGGGGCGAACAAACTGAACAATTATCTATTTTAAGTGTTCCCGGTGCACAAATCGATCAGACCGCTTAGTGGATTGGTCGAGAAATATTCTGTCCATCCGTTTGCCAAATCAGTCCATCGATTTTTGTATCGAACGAATATGACATAATCACAACCATGTTTAAACTTGCTTTCTCAAACTTGCTGTTGCTTCGAAAGATCTTTCCACAATTCTGGGTTCTTATGTTCGCAAGGGGCAGATGTTGCAAATTATTCGTTATCGATCATTTCTCCGGCATATAGTAACATCTGTGGGAATCTGCTCTAAAAGTCAACTGAAAGGCAGTGATAGAGAGCTCTAGAATTTATGAAAGCGCCTAACGGCCGTTCAATGCTTTCATCAAAGGTGATGGTAGACGCTTGGCAAGGCGTCAACTAGGGTTTCCCTGGGGACATCGAGTCTGGTCAGGTTAAAATCCCTTTGGTCTTTCCGAGTGGAAAACAGATAAGGCCGGGAATTCAGCAACGAAGTGATCATACAACAGTGATAGGGAAATAGGGCGCATTCAGAAGGCAGGAAGACGATATGTTTGGCCGCCGCCAACCGTTTTGACATCATCAGGAAAAGGATGAAAACAAAGGTGTTTCAAAGTTATCACAGCTGTACATAACAAGAGAACAGATTGACTTGTTGTACGTGTGCACAAACACATCTAGAAATAATTCACAGCTGCGTACGTCCATTGGAATTTGGTTCTGTAAGAGGCCGTAGTAAAAGAGTGACTTCGGCACCTTGGGAGGCATCCAAACGGCGAACAGATGCGCCTGGTATTGCATCGAATGCGGAAATGAATCTGTTAATGTCGATTGTACGGGGCTAAAAGTAAAAAGAAATGGCAAAAACGGAAAAGACCGTTGATGGAACGATGCGTACGGTAAAAAACAAGCATAGTTTGTGACAGACATGTGAACGTTGGTTCACAAAAATGACAGTGACCTCTAGCAGAGGCAACGGGAGTGACGAGCGATCTGCGATACATCGTCAGAAGCAATGTGGCATACAAAGTAAAATTTCATTGCAGTCGACGAAAACACATCAGAAAACGTATCCCGAGGTGGTTACTAGATCGTGAATTGGTGTAAATCGCTGGAGCAGCTAGTGTCCTGGTTCACCCGATAGTTCAACTATAAGGTGCATACATATGCTTTCGCCACCAACATATTTCATGCCTTATTCACAGCGACTGGGTGCAATTTACCCGTACATTTAATAATAAGAATAATAATGTATACTTGCGGTTTTTACTAGACATGTCCTTTCCGTTATGATCAGGGTTTCGGAATCATTTTAAACAATCACGATCACAGAAGAGAAGATATACATCAGAATATAAAGGCTGCAGTAGGTTTTAAAGAGAAAAGGAAACAGACAAAAGCTCAAAGTTATACGACTTCCTAAAACCGCCTCTTGGGCACCTGCTTCCATACGGGGTAAGATTTAAATATGGTTCGCGGCATCCGGATTCGGATTTGCCTGTCACTGTGGCAAGCCACAGGACGCCTGCGCCTACAGAGGGACCATGGATGGCTTGCGCTGCACCACCCACAGCTCCAACCACACACCCCATATCCAGTGTAAACCCGAAGGAATAAGACCGGGAGGCATGCGGATGGGAGCCACGTTTCATCAACGGAGCCGGCCCACACTCCTTCACAGGCAAACACAAGCACGCTGTATTTGGGGAATCAAGCGCACACAAGGCGGTGGCTGGACCGTAGTCCGCTCCACACTGAGTGCATGGAACCACTCTTCGAGCCTAACACGGCCACAAGGACCGTGCACCCCGTCCCCTCCGCAACGACCAACTGTCTCCTGGAGCCAGTATGGACGAGGTAGTGGGTAATAGACAGGTAGGCACCTTGTCAACATGCACATCAAGCGCAGCAGTCACACCGGGGATATCAAGCAACAGGGGAAACGCGGGAGGGAGGGGAGAAGAGAGGGGGGGGAAAAGAGAGAAGAGAGAGAGGAGAAGAAGAGAAGAGAGAAAGAAGAAGAGGAGAAGAGAAGAGAAAGAGAGAAGAGAAGAAGAGAGGAGAAGAGGAGAAGAAGAGAGAGGAAGAGAAGAGAAGAAGAAGAGAAGAGAGAAGAGAGAGAAGAGAGAGAGAGAGAAGAGAAGAGAGAAGAGAAGAAGAGAGAGGAAGAAAGAGAAGAGAGAGAAGAGAGAGAAGAGGAAGAGAGAAGAGAAGAGAGAGAGAGAGAAGAGAAGAAGAGAGAAGAGAAGAGAAGAGAGAGAAGAGAAGAGAGAGAGAAGAGAAGAGAAGAAGAAGAAGAGAGAGAGAGAAGAGAGAAGAGAAGAGAGAGAGAAAAGAAGAGAAGAGAGAGAAGAGAAGAGAGAAGAGAAGAGAGAAGAAGAAGAGAGAGAAGAGAAGAAGAGAAGAGAGAGAAAGAAGAGAGAGAAGAAGAGAGAAGAGAAGAGAGAAGAGAGAGAAGAGAGAAAGAAGAGAGAAGAGAAGAGAGAGAGAGAAGGAGAGAAGAAGAAGAGAAGAAGAGAAGAAAGAGAGAAGAAGAGAAGAGAAGAGAAGAGAAGAAGAAGAAAGAGAGAAGAGAGAAGAGAGAAGAGAGAGAAGAGAGAGAAGAGAGAGAAGAAGAAGAGAGAAGAGAGAAGAGAAGAAAGAGAGAAGAAGAAGAGAAGAAGAGAGAGAGAGAAGAGAGAAGAGAAGAGAGAGAAGAGAGAAGAAGAGAAGAGAAGAAGAGAGAAAGAGAAGAGAAGAAGAGAAGAAGAGAAGAGAGAAGAGAAGAAGAAGAGAAGAGAAGAGAGAGAAGAGAAGAGAAGAAGAGAAGAGAGAGAAGAAGAGAGAAGAGAGAAGAGAAGAGAGAAGAAGAAGAGAAGAAGAGAGAGAAGAAAGAGAGAAGAGAAGAAGAAGAGAGAGAAGAAGAAGAAGAGAGAAGAGAAGAGAGAAGAGAAGAGAAGAGAAGAGAGAAGAGAAGAGAAGAAGAAGAGAGAAGAAGAAGAAGAGAGAGAAGAGAAGAGAGAGAGAAGAGAAGAGAGAAGAAGAGAGAAAGAAGAGAAGAAGAGAGAGAAGAGAGAAGAGAGAGAGAAAGAGAGAGAGAGAGAAGAGAAGAGAGAGAAGAGAAGAAGAAGAGAAGAGAAGAGAGAAGAAGAGAAGAGAGAAGAGAGAGAAAGAAGAGAGAAGAAGAAGAGAGAAGAGAAGAAGAGAAGAGAAGAAGAGAGAAGAGAGAAGAGAGAAGAGAAGAGAGAAAGAAGAGAGAAGAGAAGAGAGAAGAGAAGAAGAGAGAAGAAGAAGAGAGAGAGAGAGAAGAAGAAGAGAAAGAGAGAAGAGAAGAGAAAGAGAAGAAGAGAAGAGAAGAGAAGAGAAGAGAAGAAGAGAGAAGAGAAGAGAAGAAGAGAGAAGAAGAAGAGAAGAAAGAAAAAGAAGAAGAAGAAGAGAGAGAAGAAGAAGAAGAGAAGAAGAAAGAAGAGAAGAGAGAGAGAAGAGAAGAAGAAGAGAAGAAGAGAGAAGAGAAGAGAGAAAGAGAGAAGAGAAGAGAAGAAGAGAGAGAAGAGAAGAGAAGAGAAGAAGAGAGAAGAAGAGAAGAGAGAAGAGAGAGAAGAGAGAGAAGAGAGAAGAAGAAGAGAGAAGAGAAGAGAAGAAGAGAAGAGAGAGAAGAGAGAAGAGAGAAGAAGAGAGAAGAGAGAAGAGAGAGAGAGAAGAGAGAAGAAGAGAGAAGGAAGAAGAGAAGAAGAGAAGAGAGAGAGAGAGAGAGAAGAGAGAAGAGAGAAGAAAGAAGAAGAGAGAAGAAGAGAAGAAGAGAAGAGAGAGAAGAGAAGAAGAGAAGAAGAAGAAGAGAGAAGAAGAGAAGAGAAGAGAAGAGAGAGAAGAAGAGAAGAGAGAGAAAGAAGAGAGAGAAGAGAGAGAGAGAGAGAAGAAGAAGAAGAGAGAGAGAAGAGAGAAGAGAAGAGAGAGAAGAGAAGAAGAAGAGAAGAGAGAAGAGAAGAGAAGAGAAGAGAGAAGAGAAGAGAGAGAAGAAGAGAGAAGAGAGAAAGAGAGAAAGAAGAGAGAGAAGAAGAAGAGAAGAGAGAAGAAGAGAAGAGAGAGAAGAGAAGAGAAGAGAAGAGAAGAGAAGAAGAAGAGAAGAAAGAGAGAGAGAAGAGAGAAGAAGAGAAGAAGAGAGAAGAGAAGAAGAGAAGAGAGAAGAAGAAGAAGAAGAGAGAGAAGAGAGAGAGAAAGAGAAGAGAAGAGAGAAGAAGAAGAAAGAGAAGAGAGAAGAGAAGAGAGAGAAGAAGAAGAGAAGAGAAGAAGAGAGAGAAGAGAGAAGAGAGAGAAGAGAGAAGAGAAGAGAAGAGAAGAGAAGAGAAGAGAGAAGAAGGAGAGAAGAGAGAGAGAAGAGAGAAGAGAGAAGAGAGAAGAAGAGAGAGAAGAAGAAGAGAGAGAGAAGAAAGAGAGAAGAGAAGAGAAGAGAGAAGAGAGAAGAGAGAGAAGAGAAGAGAAGAAGAGAAGAGAGAGAGAAGAAGAGGAAGAAGAGAGAAGAAGAGAAGAGAAGAGAGAGAGAGAAAGGAAGAGAGAAAGAAGAAGAGAGAGAGAGAAGAGAGAGAAGAAGAGAGAAGAAGAGAAGAGAAGAAGAGAGAAGAAGAGAGAGAAGAAGAGAAGAGAGAGAAGAGAGAGAGAAGAAGAGAGAAGAGAGAGAAGAGAAGAGAAGAGAGAGAGAAGAAGAGAAGAGAGAGAAGAGAGAAGAAGAGAGAGAAAGGAGAAGAAGAGAAGAGAGAAGAGAGAGAAGAGAGAGAGAAGAGAAGAAGAAGAGAAGAGAAGAGAGAAGAGAAGAGAAGAAGAGAGAGAAGAGAGAAGAGAAGAGAAAGAAGAAGAGAGAAGAGAAGAGAAGAGAGAAGAAGAGAGAGAGAAAGAAGAGAGAGAGAAGAAGAGAAGAAGAGAAGAGAGAAGAAGAAGAGAGAAGAGAAGAAGAGAGAAGAAGAGAGAAGAGAGAAGAGAGAAGAGAGAGAAGAAGAAGAGAGAGAGAAGAGAGAGAAGAAGAGAAGAAGAGAAGAGAGAGAAGAAGAGAGAAGAAGAAGAGAGAGAAAGAAGAAGAGAGAGAGAAGAGAAGAAAGCAAAAAAGATCGAGCGAGGAGAAGAGAAAGAGAGAAAGAGAAGAGAAGATGTGATATGGGAGTGAATGAAACAAAATAACTCCATAAATGCATAAGGAAACGGTGACATAAACCTTAAGTTAATGAGCAAACGAAATAAGTTGTTTACAAACGAATCCTAGATAAGTTCATGTGGTCAGAAAGCATACTATACGGAAATGCCAAGAACACAAAAATGCTATGGAAACCGAATACAAATGGCAAAAGAGAGGTGTGCAAGTTAATGGAACAGAGTACAGGTAGACATTTATATGAGAAAGAAAAGCATTAGGCAAAATTGAAAACCCACCACCTGAAATAAAGAGACTTAGCATGCAAGCACGCGGTTAGTAAATCGAATGCAGCGTACCTACAAACGCTGCGCCGGTTCTGCCTACGTTCTCTGCAGGACCCGTCGTCGCTTCGGTAGTGGTCCCGAGTGGCCTCGCTCATGGCTCACTAGGCCTGCCTGACTCAGGCACTCGCGACCGCATGTGCTACAGCACCATGCGCTCGATGTCGATGGAGTACAACCCATCGGTGCTTGCCGCTTCCGCACTTGCCGCTTCTTCTCTGCATGCACGGGGTCTATCTCCTGCACTTCGGCAACTGCCTTCGTGATTAGATCGCGCCATGCACGCCGATCAACCGCCTTCGATTCCCATGACCTGCAATCAAGATTAGAACGTGTGAGGCTCACTTTAATCATGTCCTGGTAACGTAACTTTGGTTTCCCCACGTGCCGCTTCCCAATACTCAGCTGACCATATAATAGCTGCTTCGGTATCCGCGTCGAATCCATACGCCACACATGACCGAGCCACCTCAGGTGTCTCAATAAAAGTATGCAGTCCACTGCATACATCCCACTTCGGCGCAACACTTCCGTGTCAGCAACTCTGTCGCCCCAAGCGATGCGCAAAATCCGTCGCAAACACTGCTGATGGAACCGCTCGAGATATCGCACATCCCGACGGTACATCGTCCACGTTTCACTGCCGTATAGAAGAACGGACAGCACCATGGATTTGTACACCATCAGCTTCGTGCCAATGGTAAGCTGATGGTTGTTCCACACTCGGTACTCAAGCTTCCCGAATGCCGCCGCTGCCTTCGACACGCGGATACGCAGCTCACTGTGTAGCTGCTGATCAGTCGACATCACACTCCCAAGGTAGCAGAAACGGAGGTGGTTTTCAATACTTCAGCACCAATGCTGATTCGCGGCAATATTGAAGATTGCACCTCCGGTGAAGGCTGAAAGAGACAGACAGTTTTGCTTGTGTTGATGGTGAGCCCGAATTTGGCCGCTGTCGAAGCCAGAGCACTAGTCATGTGCTGCAACTCATCCGCGCTGTGTGAAAACAACGCACAGTCGTCAGCAAACAGCAACATACGGATAGTTGTCTCACAGACTAGAGTTCTCGCAACGAAACGACGGAGAAGAGTGCAGCATTTGCTGCACATGTGGCAGACCCCAGTGACTTGGGAAAGAGTAGTCAGTTTCGCAAACTTCGACGGCGACTGACCCGAGAGCTCCGTCGCATAAAAAATGCATGGTGGACGGAGAAGGCGAAGCAGATGGAATGCTACGCCGAACGCCGCCAACACAAGGAATTCTTTGACTCCTTGAAGGCGGTGTATGGACCGAGATTGGAGCCGCTGAGGACACTGATCGATGGTAGTTCAGGCGCTACCTGCACACAGACTGCAGACATAATGCAGATCTGGCGAAAACACTTTGACTGTCTCTTGAACAACCGTTCAGAGATCGACTGGCCTACATTGAACGGCCTGAAGCAGCACGATGTGAAGACGATTCTGGCGGACACGCCGACACTGGATGAGACGCAGAGAGCACTTGCTCAGCTGCGAAACGGCAAATGTGCCGGGTCCGACGGGATCCCGCCTGAAGTATTGAAACACGGCGGACCCGCGTTGTTGACTGCGCTGCACCACTTGGTGCAACGCGTGTGGATTGAGGAGGAGGTGCCTCCTGAGCTGAAGGATGCCCTTGTGCTACCACTGTACAAGGGCAAAGGGAGCAAGCAATGTTGCACGAATTATCGTGGCATCAACTTGCTGAGTTGTGTGGGCAAGGTGATTGCCCGAATCCTGCTCAACCGCCTCGTCAGTCAGGTTGTGGAACCTAATGTGGCGGAAGAGCAATGTGGATTCCGTTCGGGTCGCAGCACTATAGATATGGTGTTTGTGGCTCGTCAGTTGCAAGAGAAGTGCAGAGAACGACACCAGCCATTGTACTCACTTTTGTTGATTTCACCAAGGCATTTGATACGGTGAACCGCGAGGCATTGTGGCTGGTGTTGGGTAAGTTTGGTTGCCCGCGTAAGTTTGTAAGTTTAATTGAATGTCTGCACAGTGGTATGCGAGCGAGGGTGCAGCTGAGTGGAGAGACCTCGGATGACTTTGCAGTTGTCTCTGGTGTGAAGCAAGGCTGTGTCTTAGCTCCTGCCCTGTTTAATATATATCTTCATGCAATGTTGTCTTGTGCTTTTGATGCGACTTGTGCTTACGGTGTTCGTGTGGAGCACCGTATTGATGGTGGGTTGCTGAACATCCGTCGTTTCGGTGCGAGAACTCTAGTCTGTGAGACAACTATCCGTATGTTGCTGTTTGCTGACGACTGTGCGTTGTTTTCACACAGCGCGGATGAGTTGCAGCACATGACTAGTGCTCTGGCTTCGACAGCGGCCAAATTCGGGCTCACCATCAACACAAGCAAAACTGTCTGTCTCTTTCAGCCTTCACCGGAGGTGCAATCTTCAATATTGCCGCGAATCAGCATTGGTGCTGAAGTATTGGAAACCACCTCCGCTTCTGCTACCTTGGGAGTGTGATGTCGACTGATCAGCAGCTACACAGTGAGCTTCGTATCCGCGTGTCGAAGGCAGCGGCGGCATTCGGGAAGCTTGAGTACCGAGTGTGGAACAACCATCAGCTTACCATTGGCACGAAGCTGATGGTGTACAAATCCATGGTGCTGTCCGTTCTTCTATACGGCAGTGAAACGTGGACGATGTACCGTCGGGATGTGCGATATCTCGAGCGGTTCCATCAGCAGTGTTTGCGACGGATTTTGCGCATCGGTTGGGGCGACAGAGTTGCAGACACGGAAGTGTTGCGCCGAAGTGGGATGTATGCAGTGGACTGCATACTTTTACTGAGACACCTGAGGTGGCTCGGTCATGTGAGCCGTATGGATTCGACGCGGATACCGAAACAACTATTATATGGTCAGCTGAGTATTGGGAAGCGGCACGTGGGGAAACCAAAGTTACGTTACCAGGACATGATTAAAGTGAGCCTCACACGTTCTAATCTTGATTGCAGGTCATGGGAATCGAAGGCGGTTGATCGGCGTGCATGGCGCGATCTGAATCACGAAGGCAGTGC